TGGACCTCTGGTTAATGCTTAATTATGTTATTTAGCGTATGGTGAAACATTTCAGATGGTGACTAACATTTTGAAAATATCAAGTAATATCAAATATTAAGTATTATCTACCCAGATGTAAGAAGGAGAAAATGGAAATTCAAGCAAAGGGAATGTCCTGCCAAGTCAACCTGTGCGGAAACTATTAACAAAACGGAACTCGGTATTACCTTCAAAATCCTCCAACTTTTTCTTGCCCCTTTGCCTAGATTTAATTTGGGGTTGGGAATGGGCACCAGGAGGAGGTTTCAATGTTGGTCTCTTCCATGGTTTGAGAACTAGGGGCCGAGCTAGAACACATGGTAGATATGTGATCGCACTAAGACCTGGCATACATTTCCTTACTTCTGTTTTAATCTACAGAGACGTCTGTGTCCCCAAAGTAGTTTATTCTATGTAACAGCAGAGAAAGTGGCTGACACACAGCCGTTTTGGTGCACATACCTCTTGCTTGGTGTGAACGGAAGTGTGCAGATGTGCTGCAGCAGCCGTGTCAGCCACCTGACGCTGACTCTTGCTCTCTTTCTGCCCTTCCCCCTGTGCACCACCAGCAGCTACAGTTCTCTGGCCGCCTTTCCCTCTGGCTTCTGTGTAGGTTTGGCCAATAGGAAGCAGAGGCAGAAAACTGGAGGGAAGGGGAGAAGCCAGGATATTCCCCCCATCCTTACTTCCTGAGGTGTCCCCTCTGCATCCCCTCAGGGGTTTGAGCTCGCAGAGACAGCCCTGACTGCTAATGCCACCTTCCCTTCCACCTCCAGCCCTGGGGGTTGTAGCAGCTTCTTGTTACTGCTGATCACTGGGTTGCCTCTCTCACTCCCGTCGTCGTTTCTCACCTCTCCCATTGCCTATGTGGCCAATTTCCTGTGATTAATTTCTCGTTTATCAAAGACCTATGGTTGTTGCTCTTTCCTGGCTGGACCTTACACACTACTAGCTATGTCAATGGACAGGTGTCAGTGCTAACAGTAGGGCCTGTTGATGTCCTGCCAGATCCTGTTTGCTGGGCAGATGCATACAACCTCCAGCTGCTATGAGTGTTGACTACTAATGGCTCATGGATGCACTCTGCTCCAGAGAATTGTCCTTGCCCAGAGAGGCCTGGGAGGCTGTGCCATACCACCTGGGATGGCCCATGGCCAATGACTGACTGATTTGAGAATACAAAATGATGACCCCTTGCCACAGGGATGAACAAGTCTATGATGCCATTTGTCAGAGACCAGACTTCAACCAAGCCCATCTTGGCTTGGCTTCTTTTTCTTCTCTGTTCTACTTCTCTCACTTCCTTATAGTTTTCTCTTACAAGCGCTCCCTCAGAAAATCAATTGCATGAGCATCCCCATCTCTGGCTCTGCTTCCAGGAAATCTGACTTAAGAAAGTATATTTTATGGAAAAAAATGGAGAAAATGTGTTACTTGATGAAATGGTTAAACGGAAGTTGTTAACAGAGCTTCAATTACAGTTCCTAACAGTTAAGGGAGTGATGGTGAGAATGAGAAAAGCAAAGGCTGAACATCTCTGAGGCATCTATTGTTGTTAGAGAACTAAGAGTTTTAATATCCAGAAAAATAATGCCTTACAAAATTAAGAAGGTTTAGAAAACTAGATGTTATGGCAAAAAGATGATATTGTGCTTTTGACTAGTTGAGTGTGAATCCCCAAGAGTTTTCAAGAGTGAAAATACCTGGGGGTGATAAGAAATGCAAGTCTGATCTAAGACTAGAAATATAAACTCTGTTAGACAATTTTATGAAGACAGCTTTTCTCAGACTTGAATAATATATAATTCTCCTTTTTTGGAAAAAGTTGTCTTGTATATCTATTAGTGCCTACAAACATAGGTTCCTTACCCACCACACAAGAGGGACAAAATAGAAACTGGAATGCCAGGCTTATGGCAAGGAAAGGGTTTTTATTTTGGATGACATCAGCCGGGAGACAACAGTGAGCCCTCAAATTTGTTTTGTTTCATCCTGTCTCTCTGAAAGATGGGAGGCCAGGGGGTTTAAAGGTTTGTGAGGAATGTGGCTGCTTATAGAGCAGGAGTGGGCATCAGTGGCCTGGCTTGTGGGAGCTTTCCCACCACCCTTCGTTTGGCGTTGGGAGGATGCTTACAGGGAGGAAGATGATAAGGGAATTTGCAGCTGAGTGACCTTGGCTCTTTGTCTCCAAGGCAGATAGTACATCCTGGAGCTTGGGAGCCAGGGAGTAAGCAGGAAAAGAGTGCTTTTGTTTTAACCCCATATATGCTGGGTTTAATGTAGGGAAATGGATATCAGGGCTTGCATCATCTCTAGTGTTGACTTAAGTGATTCTTAGTTTTCTTAAATGATTTTTACATTTTTACTAGTGGCACCTTCCATGTGGTATGTCACTTGGCCTTCAGTTGATGAAAACGTGTCACTTACATAAGTCTGCCCCTGTCCTTATTAATCTGGGACAAAATCGTACAACTTGATGCTAAACAAAGGCAACACTGGCATTGACATTGTGTAGCAGCTTTTCAAAGTGGTCATCCAGGAGAGACGAATATAGGTCATTTTATCACAAAATGAAAATAAAGTTCCTGAGTATCTTTTAGAAAACAAAGAATACAGCCTTGGACCAGTTGCCAGTGGGGGGTGGAGGGGAATGACAATGGCAAAAGAAGGCGGAAGGATGAACCCTGACAGTGACCTACCGTCTCAGGCTCCGCTCTCAGGGAAACAAAGGCGGGGCAGGGAGCAGGACTATGATTCAAGGGGAGGAAAACCAGGAACAAAGAAGATCAACCCAGCAGCGCATTATTGATTAGGTCACCACCTCTGGTGATTGTGTTCAATCCTTTGGGACCTTCTAAGGAACATCAGGAAATGTGTGTCAGAACTGTTAGCATTTATCTGTCCTCTCCAGCCCTCCCATGGACATTGCCGTCTCTGTGTTTCTGGATTGTGTGCCTGCATGACTGTGTGCCTGCAGAAGCATAGTGAGAGAATTCCTATGGCTCTCTCACTTCCTGCTTCAGAACCCTCTAGCAATGGTCTAGTCTCAGGGCAGGGCGCCCCGGGCTGCCTCTGCAGTGAGCTGGCTGAAGCCTTTGCAGAGCTGGTTGCTGCAGCATGGCCAGGATAAGAGGTTTTACTAACTGGATTAATGTCATGCCCAACAGGTGTCTCGATAGGCTACTATGTGTAGAGCGAGGGAGAGCCACAGAGAAGTGAAATGGTTTGATCTAGTGTAAGATCTGGCTGTTTGTCACATAGAAACTGATCTCTGTGACCTTGGGCAAGTCAGTCCTAATTTTCTAGTGCAAAATTGAAGGTGAAGGTGTTTAGGAATTGACCTCCCATCATACCCCTTTTCAGGGTTAAAATGACTTCATGAGCACCCCTCCCTTTTCTCCTCAGGCCCCAACTAAATCCTCCTTAATCTGCAAGGCACACTTCACAGAGGAGGTATCACTTTCTCGTCTGCATGTCCCTTGTTCCTAGCAGAAGTCAGGCACGTACCGTGTGTGGTGTAATTATATCCCTTCATTTCTGCTAGACTGGACTGCGTGGGACACTGATTTTTGTTTCTGTGCCCACAACACTAGCAAGTTGGCATTCAAACTGTGGTACTAACAAGTGCCTGTGAAAATACTTGATACAGAGAAAGAGATTAAGGGAGAAAAAAGTAGAGGAGGTGGGAAACAGCAGGAGAACCGCGTTCCCCTTCTTGTGAGCACCTACTCTTTTGCTTCTAGGAGTAAAGCAAATCCATAGCCCTGCTCTGTCTCTTTAAAGAAGGTTTTCTCCACTCCCACATCCTTTGGCTTGCCCTTTGCCATTGTGTGGATTCTTCCTGCCTTTGGATCTGTTCTTGGAAGTCATCATGTCTCAATTTTAAATAGGAAGAGGATATTGTTGGGCGTGAGGGAAGTTGGCGGGAGTAGGGGAGAAGCTTGCCCTGGTCCCAGATGCCCCAGGGATGGGCCTGAGGTACCCACAGCTTCTCTCCCCATGTCTCTTGTCAGAAGGAAATCTGGAAAGACAACAGAAGGTAAGGAGAGGGCAGTGGAATGTGAAAAAATTTTGTGTACTTGCTATAGAGCTGAGCATTTTACTTCATGAGGTTATTGTGAGGGCTAAAGAGACTATTTGAATCCACTGTTACCCCCAACCTCCATTTTACAGGTGAGGAAAAAGCCAAAAGACTGTCATATTATCAAAGTCATGTCACTAGTAAATTTTGGAGCTGGAAGTAAAAAACCAGGCCTGACTCCAGAGCATGTGCTCTCACCTTCCTCCTGCTAAGACACCTACTTGTATTGACATCAAGGCTCAGGTGTGCCCATGATAAAAGGAGCCTGCCACTCTGAGCTGGGACTTTTCTCCCTACTCATCTGAATACCGAGGTGGCTGTGCCTATGAAGAAAGACGCCAGGCTCTAGGCCAAAACTTCTTTTCAGCTCTTCAGAAGAACAAATGCCCTTATTTTCCAAGATGCGTTGAAAATGGTGCTTTTGTACTCATGTTAAGCCTTTCATCAGAGGCTCTCACCCTTGTAGAATTCAATTCAATTCAAGGTGGCGCATCGAGCATGTGCCAGGGGTACATTCTCTTGCTCCCCGACCTCGGAAGAGCCTTGAGTTCAGAATTGAGCCCTGCATGTTTCCTAAAAGTGCTGTGCACACTGATTGAGTGTAGTCAGGGGCTCTGGAGACAAAAAGATTGGCAATTTGAGAATCTTCAGATATGACAGAGAATGTGACCTCCTGTTACACAGAATGGGGGTAATAGGCTCTTGGAGCTTAAGCACGTGCCCAGGGTACCTGTCACTGTGCTTCCTTAGGGCTGTTAACCTCTCCTTTGCCACTTGACTCTTCTTCAGTTGATCCTCCCAGCTAGTCAGTGGTCCCTGCTCTCCCTCTGTGTGGGCTGAGGCAAGTCTCCTGACTTCTGCTACAGTTTATCTATCACGTGGGAGGCTCAGGCTGGCTAGCACTCCAAGAGGCTTTCTACTTTGGATTCTAATCTGTTTGGGTAAGCGAGCTATAAGATCAACTACGATGATTTATCTTATGACACAAACTTTCTCTTCTGGAAACTCAGGGGGTTCGCCTGAGATAATGAAGCTCTGCCAGACACTACAGGTGATGTACGCCTTACATGAGTAATTAAGACAATTATGGATTATTAGCCTATGTATATTTTGTGTTAAATCCTTTTTATTAGAAAATAATGCAGAATTAGAAGTTTAATTGATATTTGGCCCAGTTTTAAGACTATTTACAAAACTAGAGATAGCTTGTCTGATCATTTGGAATGTCAAGAGCAGACCTACATAAGCTTGTTTTCATGGGAAAAAAGAGTTTTGATGCTTCTTCAAAATCTTTGGAAAGTACGTCAGCTGGCAGCTGGCTTTTCTTGATATTTTAAAAGGGCACATAATAAGCATAACTAGAAGTAAATGTGACAGTTTTCTTAAAATTGTTTGTTTTTAAAACTAGAATGCTATACCTTGCATTTTCTTTTCTCTTGATTTTCAAATATCTATTTGTCCCTTAAAACTACTTCCATTCAAAAGATCTATTTGTGTGGTTTGCATGTGGTTGATGTTTATTTGGGTAATCTCAGGTAGCAGGAGAGGAATATATTTAATCATCTAACCTTTCGAATAGGGAACATTTGAAATGTCAGCATTTTATTTCAGGAGCAGGTGAGCTATTGCACTACACGGCTTTTATTTATTTATTTATGCCCTCGTCTTTCTGAGAAGGAGTTTGAAACAGCTTAGAACAGCTTATAAGAAAGGGTAGAATAACAAGGAAAAGATGTGACAGAGGAAATAGAGTAAATATTCCAATCAGAAGAGTCAACATAGTTGCTGTGATGGAATATAAACCTGCGTCTAAAATTCTTGAAAACGAGGCAAGGCAAGGAACAAATTATATAATCTTTAATATTCAAAAGAAGGGAGCAGGTTCAAAACTCAGATCTCTTATAGAGCATGTTATGTAAAGGATCTTGGTTTAATCCATTCCACAAATATTTAAGCACCTGTTATGTAGCCAGATCTGTCTCAGGTGCTGGAGGCAAAACTATATAGCTAAGAGTACTTTTCTTGTGAAGCTCACTCTACAGGTACGATAACTGTTAAACCAATTCTACTTTTCTTTTGCATCAGTTAGTGAAACCGTAACAATTCCTAAATTCACTTGAATGTCTCTGGCTTAGAATCCATCCCTGACTCCCCAGTCTGAGACCTGAATGATGACGACGAGGCAACAAGCAGGTTAAGAGAATGGAGGAGAGGTGCCTGGGTGGACTGGAGAGCCTGCAGGGAGCGGGGTGCTGGGAGGGGAGCCGTGCAGAGGAGACTGGAGGGGCAGGCGGAGAGGACCACACCAGCAATTCCCCAACACACTGAGAGTCTTTACTTTATCAAAGTAAAAATATGCGGCTAAGTAGACAGTTTTGTTTCCTGAGAAATGCTGGCCTTTTATTTTAAAATTACTATGCTCAGTAAATTACATACTTTAAGTCATCTTAATTTTTTCAGATAAAACTTGGCAACTCTATATCAGTTCCCCAAAAAAACCTTCGGTTTTTTTTTTTTTTTTTTTTGGTGAGGAAGAATAGCCCCAAGCTAATATATGCTGCCAATCCTCCTCTTTTTGCCGAGGAGGATGGGCCCTGAGCTAACATCCGTGCCCATCTTCCTCTACTTTATATGTGGGATGCCTGCCACAGCTTGGCTTGCCAAGCAGTTCATAGGTCTGCACCGGGCATGCCAACCCACAAACCCCAGGCCACCTAAGCCGAGTGCCCGAACTTAACCATTACATTGCCACGGTGCCAGCACTGTGTTTTTTTTTTTTTTTTTTTCAATTTAACTGCTCCACGAAATCCAAAAAGCTGGGGCACAGGACCCTTAACAAATATGGCTGGAGAGACATGAGGATAATAAAGGCTTAGAATTGAGGAATGATTTAGTGACAGGATTTCCTCGTGGGAATAAGGTAATGTCCTGTACACACACAAGCCATGGCTCTCCTGGACAATTATTCGGATTGAACAATGTGCTAGGGCACCAGCTTGTGTGATGAGTGGGGATTGAAATCCAGTCCTCATCCCTCTCATCAAATCACGTACCCTGGTGTTGAGTGGGCTCTGCCTAGAAGTGGAGCCTTTTTTTCAAATAGGGAGACACTGTAGCCAGTGGCAACAGACGTCACCTCTCAGTGATCTGGCTTTATCCAAGCACAGAGCCAGCAAGTCTGCAGGAGTGGATCTATGGCATGCGGTTAGGATCTCTGTGACATCCTTTCAGCGGGTACATTTTTTAATGGCTACAATCGTTCCCCAATTACCTTCTTGTAGGGGTCTAAAGTGCTGGCTGCTGCTAATTAACAATGGGTCTGTATGTTTTAGAAATCAAGCTGGCAAATGGAAGTGTGAGTAGTACGAGTAGGATAGAAGGGCATGTCTTCCTGTCCTAGCTATTGAGGTAGGAACCTCTTATTTTACATAACAGTGTATAAGTTTACTGATAGAATCCTGAGGACTCCTGTCCGTGGCAGGCTGAGGGAGACTATGATCCAGGGAGATTGCTTCTTGAGAAAAGTATTAGCTTTAACTATAGTTAATTTTGAATTTGGTCTTTATTGGAGCAATATTTTTCTGGAGAACTCAATATAAAACAAAGTAGAGATGGATCTGGCCAAAGGCTTTCCCAAGGACGGTATAGCCAGGCGTCCTCAGCAACATGGAAGAAAACAGCTAAAAAGTCTACTTTGAATAACAGTCTCCTACATGCGCCTCCCACGATGAACTGGCTGCAAACGCAGCTGTGGGTTACCAGGTACATCCACCTGTTTCTATGGAGTTCTTTTATAATTGACCAACTGTGTTGGAAACTGCTGAAAACAATGACTTGACTCAGCTAATTCCTGGCCATAAGCAATTACCCAAATTATTCCTTTTTTCCCAACATCTTTTTCTTTTATTATATTAATTCATGTTCATTGTAGGAAAGTTAGAAAATACAGATCAGAAAAAAAACTATCCACAACTTTATCCTGTAAAGAAACAGTACTAACATTTTAGTCAGGCTGTCAAGTATTTTCTACCCACACATATTTTGTGTCTGTGTATATTTTTAACTAAGATGTCAGTTGTGGTGACCCTGCCTCTTACGACGTACCTCAGATCAGCTTGTCCTCCCTCCCAACCCCCTCGCCCCTCAGGCCCAAGTCTTGTGGGAAGTATAGTTCATGCCCTAAGATTTCTGGAATTTCTCAGGGACGTTGTCAACTTCGGTTATCATTTCTTTCTTCATCTCGTAGATAGTTCCCTATCTGCACTTGGCTTACAGCTCCTTTTCCTCGTTCTTCTCAAAACACATATAATGTCACTCACAAGACAGCACAGCGTCCTTTGGCCTCTGAACACCTCATGACTCTTTCTCTGTTCCTTCGCTCTTTTCTTCTTCTTGTCTTCCCACATCCCAAATTCCTGTTTATTTCTTACTCGCAGTGCCCTAGGAGAATGCCTTGATAAGATGGCTGCATAGGGGCTTTAGGACCCGAGGGCCTGGCTGCGAAGGAGGCAAAATCCATAAAGGAATTCTAGTGGTAGCCAGTAAAATACTTAAAAAAAAAAAATCCCACCATATAATATAATTGGCTTTAAAACAAAGAATGGAACCATGCTATGTTCACATTGAAACACACACTTTATATTGTTGGGAATAGATTTTCAGCAAATTTGGCCAGTTTACAATCATCAGATCCTTTTGCCTAGTTGTCTGTTGTTTCCAATGATAGATTATTGGTGAGGGCACTCATAATCTCTCTTCTGGGTGGTTTGTCTTGGTCTGAATTCTGCCACGCGTACTACAGCAGCCGTGAAAATACTCAGGTGTCCTGCTGTGGGGAGTGTATTGACGGGCAGTGCCAGCTGCTGGGCCTCTGCATCTACCACCTCACTTGCTCTGACATCATGCTTCCCATGGCTGCTCCCAGCTAATCATTGAGCACAGTTGGAGGTATTAATGCAGGCCCTTTGCTGTGACATGGGTGACTCCTTGGATGGGTGACTTTGGCGTAAGAATTCCCCATCAAACTGGCTAAAACTTTCTTGGAACCCCACCATAATCTGAAACTCTTTTCACCCAATCTTCCTTCCTTCTCTGTCTCCTTCACAAGGGTCAGAACTTCATCATAGTCTGAAGGTACGCCCTGCCTTCTCCAGCTCTCTTCTCTTTTCTTTCTTGGGTCTGTCTCTCAATAAATCTCCTGCCATACTCCTGTCCTGATATCTGCTTCTCATAAGTGCCCCAAATAATACATACATTTAGCAAGTGACCAATAAGAGCCATAAAACCTGTTTGTGCAAGTTTAGTGAAGTACCAGAGCTCTTGTCCTGCAGATACTCAAAGTTCCTTGCATGACAAGTTTTCTAGAAGCAGACACAGAAATAGTCTAGTGCTAAGTATTCTTGTAGGTAGAGGCTTCTATTGGACTCCTGTCCATGCATGAGCAGATGCGCTTGTACTCTTTGCCAGTAAATAATATGTTGAGCATCTCTAATGCTAATTAACAAGTCCCCCAGGGCTGATGGAGTTAGTTATCACTGAAGCACTTGCAGTAGCAGCTTCTAAAGCACAGACACCTGGAGTGCATGCAGTGAACAGGTTCTTCAAATAGTAACTAATCATCCCTGGGGAGTAGATTAAAACTAGTACATACGCACTTCAGCTGGTCCATGCGTAAGTATTTTAAAGTAAATTACGGCGTAATGTGAACTTTACCCATGTCAGTAAATGCATCATGTCTGATGACTGCATAATGGTTGACTGCATGAAAATCCCACTTATTTTAGTCAATTCTGCAAGAGTGGATATTTTGAGTTCCTAATTTTTAACTGTTAGTTTTTGATTTAGCAAAGCCTTTCTGTATACTTTGGGCATTGTCCAACTTTTCATAGAATATTTTTTAGAAGTAAAATTTTTGGATCAAAAAGCATGCCCAATTTTAAGGTTTTTCATATTCACTGCCAAAAAGTCATCCAGGAAGCTTGTTCCAATTTACAGTCCAACCGTTATAGTACGAGTAGGCGTATTTCTTTTCCCTTTATTTTCTGCATGTGA